ATCCTACTTTCTATTTTGCGCTCACAAATTGTTATGGGAATATCTATTTACAGTTATTAAAGTCTGAAAAAAAGCATGTCTGCGATGTTATCGTCACGCGATGATTTGTAGATACTTTATTTTTTATCACGATATTTTCGACGACAATGTTTTTAAACTGCGAAGTATTTGAACCGCTTTATTTTCGACGACGATGTTTTGTACCACGATGTTTTAGAACTGCGATGCTTTCTCTTTGCGATGTTTTCTCCCACGATGTTTTGTAGCACGACGTTTTCGCCTTGCCTTGTTTTCTCTGCGACGTTTTCGTCCGCGATGTTTTTGCCGCGATGTTATCGGCGGACACCATCTGCCTAAGAGGAGGGATGCCTTCATGGAGGACTTTCTAAGGGAAACTGGCTCGTATACACGTTACACATCGGAAAAACCACGAAAACACCCATGCAGCCAGCCCGTTCGCGGGATTCGAACCGCGGACCGAACTACCAGTGTTCAGCGACTTTACCGTTCGGCCGCTAATGGGCCTCACACTTCTCAAGAAAAAGCAGTTTTGACTGCGGAATTTTCAAACTTGGAAATCTGTAAGTTCACCCAGTATGTAAACAGTATATCTACAATGTTTAAATTTGCACAAAATAAAAGTTAAAGAAAATAGCATTTTTATTTCTTAGTCTCAATCTACAATCTTGGTAGGTCTGCATAGCTTTTGGCGCTTTCATACTGTTGCTTGATTCCTACGTAGATCTCGTTTTTTTTTTTTTTTTTTATTTCGTCTGGTTACATTTTGCTATTTTTCTATTATTATTAACGTAATTTCGTTTGAAATGAGACTTCAGATTAAGGAATTGGATGTAACCTAATTTGTAGGAGCTAAATCTGGTAAATAGGAGTTGAATCGGATGTATATTGTTTAACAATAAGACTCTTTTCTTCGTTACAGTGTGTAACATGATGAGAATGGAAATATATAAAGTCTCACTATTGTGAAGGAGATACCAGTTACACGATAGGTATTTTTTGCAACTAACGCGCTGAATTCTTTTCAGAAATTTGTGCATTATGTGTTTACAAAATATAGAACATACCATCTGGCCTTCAAGAAAAAATTCCTTGTGAACTATCCTTTTTCAATCACAAATTTCACCAGCATTATCTTCACTCCAGATTTCTGAAACCGAAGTTTACGTGGACGTAGTAAACTTTTTAAATCATAAGCAATGACTGCTATTGTATTTCAAATATAAACACATGACTGCCATTGTATTTAAGGATAATAAGCAAACCACAAAAACTCTCTTCAGGCTATCATGACTAATGTCTGCATTTTGGATTAATCGTTTGCTAAGCTTTGCTCAGCATGCTTTCTAATAGATGACAAGAGATATTCACAGGCTCAAAAGAAGATATTCACTGCATAGCAACAAGAGAGGATACTTTAAGAAGATTAAATTAAGATGCTACAGTAATTAATGCTTCAATTATTGCATAGCAGGCTTAGTGAAATTTGTTAAATGAGCAGGTTTGTCAAAAATTTTACAGACACATTATATGCTCACTATTTCAAAACCTACGATATTCAAAAGCATGCTTTGAAATAATCGCATATCACATAAGAGGAAATCAATGTGTAATAACAAAAGAAAGAGTTTGTGAGTATGTGTGAGTTTATGCATATACTACACTGGTGTGCAAAAATTAAGGACGAGACGGTTTCAATTTAACTTTGTACAAAAGCTTTCCAAATCAACCACATTTAATACCGTAAGATCCCCAATACGTAAGGACATGAGTAATGTAAGCAACACTTACTAAAAGAGAAATCAGAGGGATAAAAAGAAGATTTATTGAAAAAGTGGCATGGAGCGCAATGCGACTGAAGGCCGAAACTGCCCTGTGATGGGTGTTGAGCAAGAAACATCCGGTCTTTAATAGGGAATATGATCTCCCCTGACTGCTAGGCAGGTTTCACAGCGTCTGCCCATGCTGAGAATGAGGGTGTCAATGAGTTGTTGAGGCATTGCTGCCCATTCGTCTTGCAGCGCCAATCGAAGCTCCGGAATCGTTACTGGTGGTAAGGTACGACCTGCCAAGCGTCTGCCTAGGAAATCCCATACATGCTCGATGGGATTGAGATCCGGAGATCGTGCCGGCCAATCCATACGTTCAATATCCTCACTCTCTAAGAGCTGTTCGGCAGCTACTGTGCGATGACATGGTGCACTGTCGTCCATGAAAAGGAACTGCGGACCCATAGCGCCTCTAAAAAGACGCACATATGGAAGAAGAATCTCCAGATGAGTATGCGATGAGAATTGCTACTCAGACTGAATCTGCTCTCATCTGTAAAGAGTACTCGTCCCCATTCATTGTCTCTCCAATTCCGGTGTTCCCGGCACCACAGAGAAACGCCTTCTCCGATGGGCAGGCGTTAGAGGTAACACCGTACAGGGCGTCGTGCAAACAGACCACCACCGTGCAGTCTTCTGGCCACGGTAAAACGCGATCGGTCGTCCAGTCGCCTGTGTCGTGTGTCTAGCGATTTCTCCCTCTGTCTGCCGCCTGTTTCTTCTGGCCTGTAAGGCAATATACCGGTCATCTGCGGGTGTGGTTCCTCGTGGACGACCACTACTAAAACCCGGATAGCTGTTCCTGTGGTTTGAAATTGTCTCCAAAGTCGTGAAACGATGCTGTGAGCAATTCCGAACTCTGCAACCACACTTGTCACACTGCGGCCTTCCTCCGACTTCCCAATGATTTGACCACGGGTAAAAGCATCCAGATGTCGTCTAACAGATTGATTATTCGCCATTTCTCGCTGAGGCAGCAACTCGGTGTGATTTTAACTGCTATACGGCGTGCAATCTCTTTGCCAGAAATACTGATCTTACACCGACAACATGCTTTATACTACTCAGACACTCCCCCATTACGTCTACCTGCATATCTGCGCATGTGCTACCGTACATCACCTTACTTAATCTCCTGATTGGTCTTTCTGTCCGCTCTGCCTCTTCGTTCAGCTGATATGTGCTAATTTTTCGACTTCGTCCTTAATTTTTGCACACCAGTGTATATGTTTCTCTATGCATCTCAGAGATCAGTAGGAGAGCTAAGAAATTTCGAAAAAAGTTTCTCGAGAAAAGATCCTACGTTTCTAGAATTGAAATTCGATTCATATATTGTTTAGAGATATTATATGGATTTTTCGCACTTATCTTTGTTTAGGAAGCGAATCGTTACTGAATTTCAAACATTTCGTCATTGTAATTAATTGGAAAGACTTAAATTTTCACTTTCAAGGAGGAAAAAGTATTTTGCATAATATAGGGTCCATCAGAAAAATGTATACGCATTGTAACAAAAGAAACGTTTTTGCTGTGATTGCAGCACATGCTAATGAAGGTTTGATCCAGTTTATCAGAATCTGCGCTGAGTCTGAAAATTTGAGAACTATATTTTCTACTCTTTTAATCAAATATACTAAATAATAACTGACAGCATATAATATTATGTCACCTCAACGGCTTTTTTGGAACAATTATTTGCTAAAGAACGCATTTTTCTATGCGTTTAATTACTTGTTTGTGAATAGCGAACATATACGATCACAGTTTCTAAAGCTGAGCAAAGAATATCAGTAAAGATTTGCTGTAAATCTATAAAAAGAAAACATTGAAATATTGCTTTAAGCATATGGGGAACAATCATTAACTTGATCAAATTTTTTCTGTTGCTACGATGATTTCATTATAGACGTGAAGGTGTTGATTGAGAACATTGCAGTGGTTGATCTTCGCAATTAGAAAGGATGAGAGCATCGGAAACGCTTGTAATTGTTCCTGAAAACTCGCCACCTGACCTTTCTATCAATTGATTCAGTGATCTGATTTAACGATAACTGATTAAATTGACCACAACAAAGAAATTTGTCTACAGAATTATAGTTGAAAATTTCGAAAAACGAAACATTTTGTTTTCGTTTTGTCCTTCATACCTTATAGACCTTAAGATAGAACTTTTGCATGTAATGAATTTGTCCAAACGACAAACATTAATCTTGAATTTTTCAAACACACTCTGCCTGGAGATGGAGCCTGGTGTTTTGCTTACGATATGAAAAAAGAAGAAAAGGAAAAAAAATGCCTTCTTCTGTTTGGAAAGATTCACCAAGAATAGAGAAGCGTTAATTTCAAAGTTCTTCAGTAAAGACCATTTTAATGACTCTCTCTCATTGGAAAGTGATAAGAAATTAATTTTTATGGAACAGACGATGAACTTAGTATTTTAAAAAGTGCAACGGACAGCCATCTAATGAATCCAGCGCTCTAGACTTCAAAATGCGCAATCAAATGAGCAGTTTCTGCTGCACGATAGTCATCTAATTCCACTTTTGACCATCAGTTCCTGGCAATGAAAAATACCACAATTTTCAGCTAGCTATGTTATGTCACAGCTTTAACAGTTAGTGATATTTTTTCTTCCCTAAAATACTAAGTCTACCTCATTATTTTAACAGCATTAAAGTGATTCCGGAAACCGTACCCTCAGACGTAAACAGTATTCTAAAAAGTAGGTTCTGTGAGGAATCAAGCGACTGTATTCACGTGCCAAGCATTTTGTGGATTTATTAAAATTGTATATAAAGACAAAGGAGTACGGATGCTGTTTTCTTCACTTTTTGATTTTGTGCAAACGTAATCCTAAAACTGCATAGACAATCTGTGCATAATATGAATGAAACAACTTCCATTAAAAATGTATTATGTTTTTGCATCCTTAATGTGAGAACTAGCCGTAATTTTTTTGTTTAAATTAAATCAGCCAATTGATGACCATTTTAATTGAACGATGTAACTTTATCAGGCAATCTGTATTTTGGATGGAATAAATATATATGATATGTAACTGTAAATTCTATAAATACAAAAAGCGGAAGGCCTGCAAATGTACTTGCAACGCGGTTTTGGGAGTAACATACCTAATTTGTTTATATTCTGTAGGTTGATTCCACAACAGCGTACATTGGACATCCAGACATTCTTATAAATAGATCTTTTCTTGAACTTTTGTACAGTAACGTAAGTGAAAATTATTATCTATTTGTAAATAAAATTTTCTAAGTAGCAAACTTAAGGATATTTCAAAATTCCTTTCTAATATAATTTAATTCACCTCATTGTTATTTTACAGTTAACACTGGGAAATGAGAGTTACTTTGACAAAGAAATGAAAGTGCGCAAGTGGTCAGCTGATTATTCCTTCCTTCGTCTTCAAAGACCCGAATTTAGTGAAACGTAGGGTAGCATTTTTTATTCTAGTAAATAAATAGTTTTATTTCTCTTATTATCACTGTTGAACAAACATTCGAAAGGTGAATGTTATGGAGCTAGAATCGTATTTTCTTATATACTGAGGGTCTCTGAAAATGTAAACAATATTTATTTATATTGTTGTGTAGGGTCGTTCTCTCTTTTCTCACATAAACTAAATTAGATCCTACAATGAACCTGGCGAATTCTCGCACAGGCGTGAATAAATACCAGCACAGAAGAAAGGTGAAAGTAACCTTTTATTAAATTTCAAATAGTTAACAGAAAGGCACGATCTTCGTGCATTACAATGGCGCCGTCAAACTTGCGGTGAAACTAAAAGCATAGAATATAATTCAAGTCAAATGTTTAAAATAAGTAGTGCTGAATAGCACGAAGTTAAGCCTAACAGGTTGACTCACAAAAACCAAACAGGCCTGGTGATTATCCGAATGGCCAAGAGGGTGACTAGTGTAACAGCGAAACAACAACAAAAACGTGCGCTGGCTAGTGAAAACACGCTCTGAATCAAGGAGGTTAGAATAGAAGGAGGGAGGGTTCGCAGTTTCCTCCACTCTCGGAGAATGAAACTCTACCGAACAAGTGGCGTCCATGTTTGTAACTTCAAAACATTGCATTACTGCAGTGAAACGTACGTGTTTTCAAGCTGTTCCGTGCATGTATTTTCCAGTAAAAATATGTTAAATTTATAATAAAATGCTTCGCTATTGTTAGTTTTTTGTTTTAAAGTTATAAAGATGATATCCGTAATTTACTACGTACAGAAAATCATTAAGAAATAGTTCGAAATCTAAATGCATGGGCATAACATTAAAGCCTTTAAAAAGGATTTTTTCTGCATATTTCAAGAATTTGTTTTAGGTTTTATTAGCAACCTGTTGGGTGTACGTTTCAATTTTTCCTTTGAGAAGTGATATTTCTGATTTATTCACAATAGTGTAATTTATTAAAGAATCATTTAAAATAATTTAACCTGAAATTAATAGCAGATAACATCTAAAATATAGTCACAGGTTGCATTTTTTTTAATGAAAGTTTTTAAATAATTCTTTTCCATAACAAGAGAATAAATATTAAAAATAAAACAGATTTATGCGAAATTCAGTGATTTCAGTTCATGCGCGTTTTGTATATATGAATCTCAAAGAAATTGCCTTGAATTGAGCTGAATTACAGAAATATACCTATATAAATTTTTGGATACATCTTTCCACATGTTCAGTTGTGTAATTTTGATTTTTACTTACTTTTATCGCTTTAATGCCCACAAATTAGTAAATTTATGCAAAAAAATTTTAACAGCAGAAAAGTTAATTTATCTTGATCAAATGCACAAATTATATTCCTAACAGTTCACAAAACTTTAAAATGAATAATAATTAATACATAAAGAATCGCTATGCTGCCCACAAATTTGTAAATTTATGCAAAAAAATTTTAACAGCAGAAAAGTAAGTTTATCTTGATCAAATGCACAAATTATATTCCTAACAGTTCACAAAACTTTAAAATGAATAATAATTAATACATAAAGAAAAACATTACTTTATTTAACACCTTTACAATTCATAAAAATACTAACAATTGATTTCTTACTTTTAATGAAAATTATAAAACGAATTACCTAAAACGTTCAAATTATACAGTTTAAATCCTAGCATATATCATTGTATGTTAAGGAATGAAGTTACCAGCAATAAACAGAAACATTAAAATGTATTTAAGATATTTTGATTATTATTGAGTACTTTTTTCACATCTGGAAAGAAAACAACATGACATTTTTAACATATTATCAATTACATAGAAAAGAAAATCAATACTTACGAATGAAAAGTAATCTTAGGAATATTTTTCGAAAATCTATTTGTGCATCCATATGCAATACAAGCTGACATGCTTCAAAAAGAAAAGAAAAAAAATAATAATGCAATTACAGATTCCCTTGCGCAAGTCACAGCGATAACAGGAACATGGCCGCCGAGCTTCACCGTTTGAGTTGAACCTTCCCTCCTTCTATTCTAACCTCCTTGCTCTGAATAAACTCAGAGATTCAGCCGTTGAAATACGCACTTCACTTAACTTTAAATTTACATCCTGGCGAGAAAGTGGCGGCGAAGTTAAGAAGTTCAGTGCAGATATCAAACTTAAAATAAATTTGTTATGCAAAATAAGGGGAACCCTATAATTTAATTAACTTTTATTTCGGTGTTAATAATAGTTATATTAGTTTACGTCAGAATGAAATATGGAACATCTATCATAAAATCCCTTGCTTACTGGCGTATTCGCTTGGCTTCCCGGTGATACTGTGTTTCACAAGCATCAAATGTTGCTGTCTGGCAATAATAATTTAAATGGTGATATTCCATTTTCTCTTTGTCCCTTTGCATCACCACTGCATATGTAAGGCTTACGTAGGAAAAGAATTCAGTTTGATCGAGAAAGCACCAGTGGAGGTAATACAAGAGAAATTTGCCTCTAATAAGGTATTTCTACTATTACTGCAATGCCGAATATTGCAATATACCATTACGGCCACGAAATCTCTCAAAGGGTTCTTTATTCGCGTCACGAATATTTGATAAGAAATAATTCAAAAAGGAATAATTCGAAAAGGAATTTTCCAGTGATTCATTGAAATAGATGTAATTATAGTATAAAAATGCACCGAAAAAATGCACATAAAAGTCTCAGAAAAAAGTAACATGCAATAAAACTGATACAAATATACCAGCTCATAAAGAGCTATTGATGATTTTTAATGTAATAATAATAAAAGTAAAATCTGAAAGCTTTCAGATTTTATATGACGCCCAAAGAATCTTTTTTTACCATATTGTGTGTTACCTCTATTTATTCAATATCATGTTCATCGCTTTAAACCACATAAAATTCAATTCAACAGCAATATTACAAAACAATGTTTAAAAACAATATATCTTTAGAATTTCCGATAAACAGTCTCACTCACTGGAAATAAAAATGTTGTTTTCCGTGCAGTATTGTGAAATCGTTGAGTTTGTTAATCAGAAATTCGTTAAATTTTACAAAATATGAATCAGATAGTAAAACAAATTCCAAATTCGGGCGTCCAGGTGCTCGGGTGATGTTCGGGTGAAGGATTACGTTATTCAATATTTGATGGCTCTAGGTATCGTCGTTTTTTTATAATGCGAGAAACATACATACGTTCATGAAGATTCTTCATTATTTAATTTCTTTAAATAAAATATAGGGTGATGATGTTTCGTGGCAACAATCTGAAAAATGAAGCTGACGTTTACAGCGAAACAACGCAAAATGCCCTTCCGAAATTAACCGCCATTCTGGGCTACCACCTCTTTGGGCTGAAAAGATTTCAGCTGCTAATTCTCATTTTCTTTTGTAACCAAATAATTGCCCAGATGTTGGTTATTGACCACAATTAAATTAAATGTGTTTTTATAACCTGTATTGAAAGCGTTCTAATAATGTAGGGTTTCCCTTAGTTTGAACAACCAATTATTTTAATTTTGGTATCTTTTCTGAACTTATTTACCCTCGCATTTCCCGCATTTCCTCGCTGAGATGCAAATCAAGTTAAGGAAAGAGGGTATTTAAACAGAAGAATTGAAAAGGTTAGACAGCGTCATTTCGCTAGTATAGCGCACATTTGCTATTTTAATTTTAATTGCGGCTGCGCTCTCTGGCCGTTTAATAAGTATATCGACACTGGTGTAGCGCTTACGCGAAAGCACCCGTCTGCAAACGTTGTTTGCCTGAGCCGGTGTAGGTTGCTGAGTCAGCCTGTTAGCCTTTTGAGGCCGGGGCTTTGGTAGCAGTAAAAGCTACCAAAAGACGGGAAATCTTGAACCGAATGCTTTCCCCCCGTTAAAGAAATACCTCCTATTTGCAACAAAGATTCTTGTGTAGTTTAATGGATTCTCAGAGGGGTGCATCTATGTCGCAAAAGGGAGATCTTTGAAAGAGATAAGTGGTTGAAAACCCAGGGACGTCAAATTTGACATATCACCCCACTTTTCAGCCTGTAAAATGGGAGAAAAAGACATGGCCAATAAAGTGGACAACCCCGTCCATTCAAACAGGGAATACAAACTGCCAATATATTGGCCATCCGTCTACAAAAGGTTAAGTTGAATTAAATTTTGAAGTCTAGCACTACTTCTTACATTTCGAAATTGTTCTTAAATTTTCGTTAAGTTCTCACCACAAGTAGCCAGTTTTTATTTATTTATTTATTTTGTATGCACGTAGTGCTCGCCTTTTTGTTAAAGACTTGAGCTAAATAAAAAAGGGCTTTTATATCTTTCATCTGTTGTGCTACTTTTCATACTTGTGCGAAACTCGCCTGGCCAAACTAGACATTTTGTGTGATACCAAAGAAGATAGGATCTTACAATAATAGTTTATAATAGTGTTCTTGTTTTTAAAGTAAGTATTCTCAATAAAAAGTTTAAAGTTCGTAATTATATTTTGTTCTAATATAAATATAGCTAACCTAAAAGGGATATATAGTTATTTTCCATTCTAGGGCAACTCGTGCCGCAAACATTTCTCGATAAAGATATATATTTGCTAGGTTGATGCATCTAGCAAGTAATGACGTTCATTATAAACTCATTCCAACTGTGGTGAAATATCTAAGCATAAGAATTATATCTCTAAGGATTTCTTTCAATAATAATAATAATAATAATAATAAAAAAAAAAAAAGAAAACCGAAATAAAATGACAGGGTTTAAAATTTTTTCTTTAAAAATAAAAACACTGTTACAGGAGATAAAATTGCCCATTTAATTTAATGGTGGCCGGTATTTAACCTTGGTGTATGTAATGATTTTGTAGAAAATTATTTGATGAATGTTGTTTGATAACAGAACAAAATTTAAGCTATTTCTCACGTTCTTGCGCAAGTTCCCTTTAACTTTCGGCTGAAGTGTTCTGTATTATGAAGAACATATGCCATATGACTTAACGGTGATGTATCGCGATGTATTTTGTCTCTCTAAATGGAGAATAAGTCTGATCTTTAATTTCATTTTTTTCCATTTTGAGACAAGAACAAAAAGATCCTTTATTAATCTTAATTGAATTAGATGTAATATCTTTCACCTGGTTTTATTTCGGTTAAAAGCTATTATAAAATGTAAACTTATTAAATGATTAGGATTAGTTCTTGCTGTCGTTTGGTGGACGTTGGGCTCTGTTATAAATCTAAAGTTTAATGCAAGTGTTTGATTTTTCTTTACATATTAAAATATTTGCATTTAATTTTTCTATTTAATATTTTCTTATTTCATTGATTATACTTTTCCGTTTTTGTTTATGAAGTGCATCTTACGAAATTATATTAAACAATAATTCCTTCCTATTTGCACATGATTATTTTATACGAATACAGTTTGTTTAATTCCATTTGATGTTTATAATTATTTAACACTTGCATGTTCAGCTTATAGCACAATACCCGATTATATTTTGCTAATTTTTCAAGATGTCACAAAACCTGCTATTGGTTGCATATAGCCATATTAATAGCACAAATTATATTAATAGCAAAAAAAACCATTATTTTTTTCCTGTTTTCAAATTTTATTGTATTGATAATTCTTACTTACTTCAATAGAAAATTAAAATGATGAAGAAAGACTTACCGGACTTTGTAAAACTTTACACATAAGCACTAGGTTTTGTGACATGAGTAGTTTTCTACACTTGTTTTAATGTAAAATTAGAAAATTTCCAAGTAGTAGTAAAAAGAAATGGGGATTATCTTTAATTCCTCATCTTTAACATTTTTATTTGAAGAGTTTTTAACTAATATCTATTGATTTAATTACAAAGAAAAATGTATTATTACATAGGAAAATTGTCGTTAAAACCAAAGGACTTCATTTGGTTTTTATGTTTCTTTGCAGTTGGCTGGAGCACGCAAACATTACATCTGTAAAGTACTTTTATAACCATAAGAAATCTACCTTTGGTGAGATATGTTTTTCTTTTTACTCTCAGTTTCGTAGTTATAACATTGTTCGTTCCATATATACAAACAGAATGACTGAAAAATTCCAAGACGAAACTTTTTTTTGGAAGATCGCTGTGTTTGAACTTACATTAGGAGAGTGAGGTCATATTTGGTGACAGTGAATGGAACTACCTAATAAATTTCACTGAAACGGATGAGGAAAACGTCTGTATGACGGAATGGCAGAGATTTGATTTGATTTTGTATTAGATTTGGGAAGAGCCACAAGGAAATACTTGACATATTTCTCTGTACATATGTTGATAAAGTATTTACAATGCTTCAGTATTTCAATGTATGATATGACTTGACATGAAGAAGTGTAATTGAGGTATCGCTGGACCTAGTTAATATATAGAACAACGTCATACCGATCGATGTATACCAAGAGCCACTCTACGCGCTATCAGTTGACTATCCGCTGTGCTTTTAGTGCTATCAACACTGTCCGTATTTCAGTGCGAGATATAACTTAAGTGAGTAACATTGAAGAAATCCAAGTAAGAAATTTCAAGCAAGTTATCCAATACAATTATGGTTATCAAGAATTTGAATTTATCGGAAGAGAGTGAAAAGTGACTATTATGTAAGCATCTTAAAAACTGCTTGTGTGAAGCAATGCTGATTTAAAAACACTATTTGCTCAAGAATCATTGCTCCTAGACAATACCCGATTGCACACTGCTGTGATATTATGAATTCTGTTTGAAATTGATCTTTCATCACTGGAATAAACAGCACAGAATCTAGACTTAGTGACATGTGATTTCTGCGTGTTCTCAACATGGGCATGCAGTGGCGTAGCTAGGGTGGGGCAAGAGGGGACATCTGTCCCCGGGCGCAGCATCCAGGGGGCTCCAAATTGATGCTACGAAAATTTTTAATGGTATGTTTTCCATTCTTGGCACACAGAAAGGGGCGCAAATTCTTCAGTTGTCCCCGGGCGCTGAAAACCCTAGCTACGCCACTGTGGGCATGGCAATCACATAGAGAAAATTTTTCTCCGAGGAAGAAGTGGAAACTTCTGCACCAGCAGTGCTGAAGTCAATATCACAAAACAGGGCTCTTTCATATCTTTGAGTAGCCATAAAATGCGATGAAAATTGCAATTACTAAATTGTATTCATAAAATAAAAGGAAAAATAACATGCCACCTAATGCCAGTTTGAACAGGAGAATCAGTTTTAAAACATTTCAATCAGTTTGATAGTAATTTTGACACACTGATGTTTTTCAGTTTTAGTTTTAGAAGAAATAAAGCAAGTTTCTTGTTAAAATTAATGTTACAGAAATAGAAACTGAATTTTTCAGTATAGAGAAGAAACATAGAAAGATACACTCCTTTTTAGTCTGAAATGATGCGAGATATTAATATTTAATCAGGAGCAGCCGCAAATATTGCTTTAATATATATATATATAAACTTTGGAGCTTGTAGATAATATACTTTAAACCAAAATAAGATGACCTTATACAACACTTTTAATAACGTTATTATGTTTTGTACATTTTATACAAAAGAAGGTTTAAAACTTTCATTTTAACATTTTAATTTTCTAATAAATCGGCTGATAAAAAATATTATAAGTCTCTAATTCCCTCAAAAGCATCCAACCAATGCTATCAAAAGAATATTCCTTTTAAATCAAAAGAATATTATTCTTAAGTCCATTTTAAATACTTGCAGAAAAGATTAATAATTTGTAATATCTGACTTTGCTGAGATTTTCTTCTGTTTTTGTGCCCTTCTAGAAGTTTAACTAAGAGATCAAGTATATTGCTGCTCTTGAAATAAAATTTCTGTAGAACTTGTGTAATCCCCAAAGTCGCTCAGTGTATGTATAAAGAGAGAAAGGAATCATTAAGTAGTTTTAACTTTTTGTATTAAGTGTCTAATTCGTTCCGAACAAAGTTTAATACCAAGAATTTCCAAAGTTTCTAAGTCATATGTGCATTCAGAAGACTTCATATAAAGGCCCTAATCATAGGCACGCATTATTAAAGTTCCAAAATCTTGCAGATGTATGAAAAACCGGAAGCAAAAGGAATATTACCTGCAAAAGCGCACAAATGCTCGTAAAACCATCCATTTAAACCATACTACAAAGCCCAAATTTTCCTTAGGTCAAAAGGCGGTGGAATTGTAGTCTTTTTTACATTCGAGGGTTAACTGGTAACTGATGATAAGCTCTCATAATACATGGAGACAAATTATTTCTGTATAACATAGAGATAAAATCTAAAATATTCAGTTTTCTATAATGATTATAAACAGTCTGGTTATTTAAAGTTGGATAATCACCTGCTGGTATCCAATCTGCACGGCGTTTTGGGGAGCAATAAAGAAGAATAATCGCTTTTTTAGGTTCTCATGTGATTAAATCAAATACGGATTGAAATTCCACTTTTACAATCTATCCTGCGTGGTCTTGCAGCAATCGGTGAACCGGTTTCTCTGAGGAGAAAAACATTGTGTTCAATCTTTTGATCTGGCTGAAAACGGTTAAATATATACGGAAATTCGAGCAATAATTTATGATAGATGCTATTTTCATTAACGATTTTAATTCAATAAATTGTTGTTTACCGAAGTTTTCCCTCCAGATATGAGTGAGTTGCAGCATCCATCATTCTGAGGATTAGACTTCTGATTAAAATTAAGTGAAACATCTGCACTTAATCTCTTATAGAAAAAGGCTTATTTAAAAGCTCGATGTAATTGAAAATCGCGTGTTAAAAGTTCTTGGCCATAAAGTTTGATCTAAGTTGAGTGTGCGCTTGTTAAAACGTTGTCAAAAACGATTTTTTGCATTTCTCTGAACATGACACAAGTGAATTTGAAACAACAGATCTAGGATCAATTAAGAATACTAAATTGTCCAATTATCTTTAAGAAATAAGCATCAAAATACACGTTACTATTACAGCTGGGCGATTCGTTTTCTTTTGTAAATTAACAAAGCGAACAAAGCTTCTTTGTTTTTAGTACTAAATTATGTTATCAAAAGTAAATAACAGATTTGAAGCTGCTTCTAGTAAAAGAAATATTCCCCGCTGGCAGATAACTACGGCATTCAGAACAGCTACAGCTTCAATTAAGTTAAACTTCTCAATTCTGCAAAAATCGCAACTTCATTGCCAGGAATCGGCATTACTTCTAAAATTCTATGAGAAGCGTTTGCTACTATTTCAACTGTTAGCAGTATAAGAGCATCTAATATAGATTTAGTATAGTAAGGTAAATTATGCACAAATAATTCGAATTTAGGGATCTTCTGAAAACTTCTACGGATCTAAATGTAGTTTCATGCAGCGCCCAAAGTTCCAATAGTTTCCTATCGCCAAGTTGATCATCAGGTTTACGAATGTTATTGCGATGAATCGGTTTTGGTTTACAGAGGGTATACACAAATTTTTGTATCGATTTTACAAAGATTTATATATAAATAAACCTTAGAATTTTATTTTCTAATATGTTCAGTCCGATAGCTCTTTTGTTGAACTATCATTTTACACCTTGATTTCGAAGATAAAAGTCCTTTTCTTAAAACAACAAGGTTGATTTTTTTTCCAGTCCTCCTTCGCAATCTTCCAGAGTCCATCCAATGTTTTGGGAAGCCTTTTATAATGAGCTTGCTTTAAAAGTCCAAATGCACAGGGGACCCATCAGAGGACTTGGATGAGATACACTTAGAGGGAATAGCTTCAATTCCGGTTTCACTTCTCAATTTTTTATAAAATAGAGCAGTAGATTTAGAGGTATGGCTCTGAGCCTTACCCTGATGGAATTTAATACAGTGAAGATTGTTTGGATAAAGAGATGGAATTTGTTCTTTAAAAATAAGCGTTAAAACTAATCAACAAGGTGTTAAATATATCAGAAATGTTAGTAATGCGAATTAATTTTGACATTTTTCTACTTTCCTTATTTGAAGTTTTCCGTTAAAAGAGAATCCAGTAATAACCACAAAACCTTTAGAAAAACTTTCCTTGTTTTCTCTGAACCAACATATTAAGTCTTATTCTCCTCTTTTTTGGGTAGTAAATCGATCTTTTTTCTTTTGCAATCAGATAAGTATATCCAAGCCTCATCAATTTTAACAATATATTTCCATTTTTCACCTTCCAAATAATTTTCACACTACAAGCTGCCTATAGTCTTACGCTGAGAAACATGTTTCAGCGTTAGGCGATGAACATCACGTTTTGTTTAGATTTCATTAGTTTTAAATCAAATTTTATAATTTGTTCACAGTTCCTACAGACATATTTAAAGATTCTGCATTAGGGATTACATTAGATTTTACATTAGGGATTACATTAGATTCTACATTAGAGATTACATTAGATTCTACATTAAGGATTACATTAGATTCTACATTAGGGATTACATTAGATTCTACATTAGGGATTACATTAGATTCTACATTAAGGATTACATTAGGTTCTACATTAGGTATTTAAAGATTCTCTTTGGGGCTGAATTTTCCTTTAAAACATGAGATGCGACTTTTAAAATCTGTATGAACCTTTTTTGAGTATGCATTTTTTGCCTTTTTTTCCCAAATCAGATGTAAACTTTGACGTTTCTTTCCTTTCACGTTAATTATGTCACGTAGGTTACGTGCAGAAATATTAAAAACATGCCTTTCACAAGTTTTTTTAACAACTGAAAGTATTTCTTTCAGTATTTTCTTCTGAAGTATTTCTTTTCGGACAGTGCAAAAGCCTTCGATCCATTCTTTATTCTTCAGCTTTAAAGAAAAGAGAATGTTTTTAATGCTGCAGACGTTAATTAAACCTTATTCCAATCTGATGCCAGTCATATGTAAATTTTAAAATTAATATTTAAATTCAATTATTAAAAGTCAAAATTGTTACAGAAATGAGTGAACATCGTCTGTATTTGATTACGGCAAAGCATATTGCGCTATCTGCCTAATTGAAGAGATGCCTTC